TGTTGTTGTTGTTGTTGTTGTTGTGTGTGTGTATGTGTGTGTTGTTGTTGTTGTTGTGTGTGTGCGTGTGTATATGTGTATGTTGTTGTTGTTGTTGTTGTTGTTGTGTGTGTGTGTGGGCGTGTGTATATGTGTGTGTCGTTGTTGTTGTGTGTGTGTGTGTATGTGTGTGTGCGTGCGTGCGTTTGTGTGTGTGTGAGACCTGTCTAAGACAATCATTTTTCTCCACGACAATGGTGGCCATGTTGGACTGATTCGACTGTGTACGAGAGGGGTTCAATTAGTCTTTGGTCAGGGTATGAAGGAATCTTAGTAGAGTAATGAAATTTCGCCAGCCTTTAGACAATTTTTTTGGAACACACCATGCAAATTTTCAGGAAAATCTGGCGATAATAAGGCACTAGTCAGCGTGGTCAATGAAACCATGCACAAAAACATATTTGTTATTCCTTGGTGAAGCTGTACCATGGAGCCTCTTGAGTATCGCTCATTTGTCGAGTTTTTACTCTTGCAAGGAAAATCCCGATCTGACTTTTTTCAGGAAATGGCCCAAGTTTATGGTGACAAATGTCTTCGTTATAATTCTGTGACATACTGGGAAAGAAAATTCAAATCTGGATTCATATCGGTGAAGGATGAAGATCGTGAAGGGCGCCCATCCTTTGCGATAACTGAAGAGAATGTTTCCATATTGAAGAAACTGGTTCTACAAGACCGACGTCTAACTGTTAAACAGCTCTCAAGTGAAACAAGAATCAGTGTAGGGTCAATTGAAACTATTCTCCATGACCGTCTTAACACGAATAAGGTGTCTGCGCGGTGGTCACCCCGCCTTTTGACAAGTGAGCAAAGAAGCAGAGGGTTGAGTCTTGCAAAACTCTCCTTCCTATTGAGTCCAGTGACACTCTTTAAAAACATGATGACTGTGGATGAAACATAGATTTATGATTTTGATTCAGACCAAAAAATGTCTTGCATGCAATGGAAAACCCCTTCTTCTCCCTCAACAAAGAAGGCAAATGTAACACCGTCAAGTGAAAGGTCATTCTGTCGTGTTTCTGGTATTGTGAAGGTATCATCATGACTGACTACCTGAAAAATGGAAAAACAGTCACAGGAGACTACTACTGGGGTTTGCTGATAAAATTGCGGTCCGAAATAGTGAGAAAAAGGCGTGGAAAACTCCGTAATGGGGTCCTCGTATTGCATGACAACGCCACTACGCACAGCGCACCACAAAAAGTCCAGACAGCAGAACAGTGCGGCTTTGAAATCCTGCCACATCCACCTTATTCACCAGACCTAGTCCCCTCAGACGTTTTCTTTTTCCTAATCGTAAAAAAAATCACACAAAAGACGTCGTTTCCATGACAACGGGGACGCCATTGAAGCCGCAGAAGACTGGTTAGGGGCCCATTCTGGGTAATTTTACTCTTAAGGACTTTTGATGGTCAAAGAGAGGTGGCAGAAATGTGTTACTCTGCATGGTGACAATGTAGAGAAATGAAAGTATGTGTGCCAAGTTACAAAGTTCTATCTTCATTCCTTCATATTTAGACCAAAGACTTCTTGAACCCTCCTCGTATAAGTAGACTCATGACGTTATATACGTAATTGAATAAAATAAATTATTTATACATGTTTTACGTGTTCATTGAGGCCATCTAGATCTGCATTTAGGTGGTTGGTGGGTGTTCTGGTGTGGTTTGCCCCTTCTTTTCTATCCAGCATCTGTCGTCCTGATTTTCTCATCCTTCCTTTTTTGTGTTGGTTACTCTCTTGTAACACCTCAGATCTCCAGCACTGATATGACCTTATTGTGTTGCAAGAGCCGCTAAACTGTCACTAAAACTAAACTGTCTGTTTCCCGCGTGTTCCAGGTGGTGGTGGGCTGGCTCTGTTTGGCACAGGGAACCTGCACACTTGGGCAGATAAATTGTCCGAGTTCAACCGATGTCTGACCAGCAGGAAAAAGATGGACAGAAGGAGGTTCATGGATGACAGCGCTTACCGGTAGGAGCAACACACACACACACACACACCTATATTATATTATTATATGCATACATACATCTACCAACACGTACAGAAGCCTGCATACACGCTTACACACGGATGCATACACATACACACGCACATACAGATTTATGCGCACGAGCACTAACACAATACACACACACATGCTCTCTTTTTCCTACTTTCTTGCTTTCACACACACGATCTCATACTCTCTCTCTCTCTCTCTCTCTCTCTCTCTCTCTCTCTCTCTCTCTCTCTCTCTCTCTCTCTCTCTCTCTCCCCCCTCCTCCCTTCTCTCAAACCATTCAGAAAAAACCGCTTTCTCTCCCCAAAAGTTATGCATTATTCATGTAATGCGGTGATAGGAGGCTGAAAAGTCCAGGCATTTCCTTGTAATTTCGTGCTCAATATTAGGACGACGGTGAGAATAGCAGAACTGTATTTTATTAACAGAAACTTGATTTCCTGTGATCTATAAATAGCACGCTATTTCGAAATTTCTTCCCCCTCCCATCCCTCTTTCTTATTTTTTTTCCTTCAATTTTGTCCCCTTTTCACACAGTGTCCAAAAATACCCATCCCAATGACTTTATCACTTCGAATGGAATACAATTCACATTTTTTTCTGTGATGTCTTTCGTTCCGTGTCGGCCCATCCCGAAAAACATTTCATTTTTCTCGCTTATTTATTCAGCTCTGACTGTGCTTCGTTCTCTACAAGGTGTAAAGAAAATCAATTTATCCAATAAAAAAAAACAACAACCCCCAAAATCCCCCAAATACAACAACACAACAACAACAACAATCAAACAAACGAACAAAATAAACAAAAACTGTTATTCCAAATTTTAATGTAGAGAGGTTTATTTTTGTCAAAATTCCATTTCGCCTTTTTT